TCTCAATTTGTCACATATATGCAAGTTATTTACACTATATAATGCAATAGAATTAATTTATATAATTTTTTTCTTCACAATCTTATTACATGTATCTCATTACACTATATTATTCATGATGAAAGTTGTGTGCCTTCGTTATTGGCCTTTCAGGATATTGTCTTTTCAAGGACAAGTTGAAGTCAGGAGGGGCTAACTGGAAAAGGCACCTGTATGAAAGAATGGTCCTTGACCTGGTATCTGTCTGGTATTTATTTGTAAATCAGGCATTTACACTGTACTAGAGAGGGGTCATGCGTGTCGGAGACAGAAAGATAGGCCATGTTGGAGAACAGAGAAAAAGCCTATGCTCTCATTAGCTTTGAGGCATCAGAGATGATTAAAGAAGCACTGCTGGATGCACGCCTACTAAAAGAGCTGAGCACATGGACATCACTCTTCTTTCCTTCACTCTTTCTATCCCTTTATCTTATCTCTTACTTAATGTTTTGTTTGTTTATGGGCTTTTGGCCTTTATTTTTATTTAATATTTTTTGTTAGGACAGTTGCAAAGAATCAGAATATGAACCCTGTGAGCACCACAGGATTTCCTGACCCACTACACCACGGCTCTGACTCTGTCAGTCAAATACTGTCCTATCCTATCAAACCATACATCAATGGAAAGCTTATTTATTCAACTTTCAGATAATGTATCTGAATCTCAATTTGTCACATATATGCAAGTTATTTACACTATATAATGCAATAGAATTAATTTATATAATTTTTTTCTTCACAATCTTATTACATGTATCTCATTACACTATATTATTCATGATGAAAGTTGTGTGCCTTCGTTATTGGCCTTTCAGGATATTGTCTTTTCAAGGACAAGTTGAAGTCAGGAGGGGCTAACTGGAAAAGGCACCTGTATGAAAGAATGGTCCTTGACCTGGTATCTGTCTGGTATTTATTTGTAAATCAGGCATTTACACTGTACTAGAGAGGGGTCATGCGTGTCGGAGACAGAAAGATAGGCCATGTTGGAGAACAGAGAAAAAGCCTATGCTCTCATTAGCTTTGAGGCATCAGAGATGATTAAAGAAGCACTGCTGGATGCACGCCTACTAAAAGAGCTGAGCACATGGACATCACTCTTCTTTCCTTCACTCTTTCTATCCCTTTATCTTATCTCTTACTTAATGTTTTGTTTGTTTATGGGCTTTTGGCCTTTATTTTTATTTAATATTTTTTGTTAGGACAGTTGCAAAGAATCAGAATATGAACCCTGTGAGCACCACAGGATTTCCTGACCCACTACACCACGGCTCTGACTCTGTCCCTTTCTTTGCTTTGTTTCTCTCACTCAGATCTGAAAAGGTGACTCATATCACCTGCAAATTAAGCTTGTTTATTTATGAGGTGTCACCTCAATTATTCTGAATTCTTTATTGCTGTAAACAGGAAATCAGATTCAGCGCAGCACAGGAAGGCAGGAGAGCAGGAGCCCTTTTTTAAACTCGGTCATAGCTGGAGGGGTTTTCTGCTAATTCTCTGTTAATGTGACACAGCATGCATTTCCAGATTAATTAACCATCCGCCTGCCCTCAGAGTGCTGATACAGTGACTGTATCAGTATGTCTCTCTTAGGCCATGTACACACTCCGCATTGTCGCTCCTCTGCTGAATCATAAATCCCACTCCACACGCTAAGTTCAGTTGTTTACAGGAGTGACAATGCATTCTAGATACAAGTTTATTCCCCAAAAAATTCAGGTAGTGACAACTGTATTTACATTAATCCACATGGTGTGTAGAACCACGCTGAGCGACTGGTTTTAATGCAGCAACACTCTTTTGGTCCCTGACAACCTGTCTGAGGTGTTGTGCTTGAAAATCACAAAAACCTTCGAGGTATGTGAGGTATGAGCCTTGATTCAGTTACAAATTTTGATGCATGCTTTTCTCCACTGTAGTTTCTCCCACCAACCTTTACATATATCAACATTTGTCAAATATAAAAAAATATATAGAAAATAAGTTTATTTAAAAAAATTTATGAATATTGTTTTAGAAATGTCATGTTTATTAAAATAAATGCTTTCAAACATTCTATTCATCAAAGAATCCTGAAAAAAATGACAGTTTCTGAAGACTGGAATAATGGCTGCTGAAAATTCAGCTTTGCCATCACAGGAATAAAGTACATTTTAAAATATATTAAAATAGAAAACAGCTATTTTAAATTTGAATAATATATATTCATAATATAAAAAAAGTATTCACAATTTCACAATATTATTGTTTTACTGTACGTCTGATCAAATAAATGCAGCCTTGGTGAGCATTAGGCATTTCTTTCAAAAACATTACTCTGGGCAGGCTGGGAGCGCTGGGATAATTGACGTAATTTCCCTTTATTCTGAACCTGTCTGTTGTGCTCTGTGTAAAAACCAGCTAACATTTTAATCAACACTGACCCTGAATGACACAGCGGCTGCACATTTACACGCCAACGTCTGCATCTGACTGACAGTTGTGTTTCTGCGAGGGATTACATGCGTGGGGTAGACAGTCGGGCCCGGTGCCAACGCAAATTGGATTATGGCGAGCAATATTCTGGAAACATTTTATTATCCGAGGGCTTTTAGTGTAATGTGATTACTTTGTAATGCACTTTTGTTTTATAGACTGCTTCAGCACATTGCAGCTCCAGCTTTATTAAGCGTGAATTTATTCTGTAGTACACATCATCAGGTTGTCACCTGTTGCCTTCACAGCACTCAGGGGCCTCTAAGAGCGTTTCCACAATCTCTATTTAAATTCAATCCTCATCGTTCGTAGTGGACGAATTTAAATGTGCTTTTTGTAAAACTTTCCTGATGGTAGACTACAGACGGTGGTATTAATTTGAGCTGAGAGTTTGAGGTGTCTTCCTGTCGTGAGGAGTTACGGGTGTCTAGATTGAGGGTGATGTGTGCGAGGCCTCATTAACCTGTCGTCACGTCTGCGTCTAGGCAAGGTCCCTCCTTAGGTCAGACTCATTTGCCTGCATCTGATTAAATACGCTTTCATTACCTGAGAGGAGCGCAAAGGGCACATCCCAACTGATCCCAGATCAGCCACAATGGCACAGTTTTGCGACAGCACGCTAGTTGAATAGGTCTGACTTTTTTGTTCAGCATGATTGTAATTATTCCTCAGACTCCCACTATTTTACTTCGCTCTATGTCACGACTTCCACCCACGCTGCAGTATTGCATATTGGCTCATGCAGTTGTTGCATGTGTTGTCTAAAGCGGTAGACGGGCAGAACGAGAACTAATGGGTGGCTGTGGCTTTCTATTAGTGACAGGTGAGGATATGCATGCTAGCTTCAGCAGACAGGAGATTGCCCGTGCTGCAATTACCATGCAGCTTGGCAGACAGACAGGCCAACAGTATTATGAGTGCAGTCTGTGTGGCAGAATGTGTCACCCCACTGCCACCTCTGCATATCCGAAAACACATCAATCTGTCCTTCTGGTTTTGTGTATTGTCCAAACTTTTCCACTTTTAAACACTCCTACACCAAGAGTATTTAAAGACCCTATTAAATTACTTAAGTGCTTCTGATTTTTTAAAAAGTCACTTTTGAAACAGTGGGGGCAGGCACTTTTACATTGCTGGAGATTTTTATTTTTATATATATATATAAAACCTATAATTCTATAAAATGTTATTTTAATATAACATTTTAATATTAAATACATATTTTAATATTACAAGTTTAAAAAAAAAAAAAGTTAAATAGAATTATTTCTATGTGTTGTGTCATTTCCACCACACTGAACAGTTTAGGCCCTAATATTTTTTTTCCTCTGAGTTAGTATACTTGTGTACCAGTGAGACAACAGTCTAAAATAAGATGAAATAAGATGCAAGAAGAAAAACTGAAATAAATATTGTTAGTCAGCCCGTAATTTTTCAGCATTTCCAATCAAGCTGTAATTGTATCAAATAGTGTGAAAATATTATGATTCTTGCTGCATTTAAGATGATGGTGATATTTTAGTATTGTTTATATACTATTATAGTATTTATTTTGAATTAGCATTTCGTTTTTTTTAAATAATATTTAGTAATTTTGTTTTTTGTTATTTGTATAACTTTTTTGTGTTTTGTACTTTACTTTTACATTTTTGTAGCTTTATTTTTATTTCAGTTTTAATTTTAGTCATTTTTATATTTCAACTGAAGCATTTTATTTGTTATTTGCCAGGACAACATCTCAAGGCAATTTTGTGTGAAGTTTTTAAGTTTTTCTTTTTACCTAATATTTATATATTTTTAATTTTGATTTTATTTCAGCTTTTTTATTTCAATTAATGAAAGCAACTTAAAAAAATTTTTTTTTTATAAAAGCTAGATACATAAAATTTGGGTATGGACTAAAAATTATATAAATAATAATAATATAATTATAATTCATAATAAATAATATATATGATTTACTCAATATATTGTCATTCTGAACCCACATGACTTTCTTTCTTCAGTAGAACAAAAAAGAAGAGTTTTATCAGAATGTTCATGTTGCTCTTTATCAGACAATGAAGATGGATGGCAATTAGTTAACAATACTATACTAACTAACTACTACTACTAACTACTAACTAACAATACCAGATATTTGAAATGCTAGCTATGGAATTAGTCATAGCAAGACAACGGAGTCTACCATTTTTTTCCAAAAATGTTTTGTCCATCACTGTAATGTCCATCCCAGATTTAGGAATGGTAGAAATAACACTGCGGTGGGAATATTCATGACTTTCAGGAAAAAAATTTTAAAAAGACAATTCCCTTTTGATGTTTGTATGTCCGCTGTTGGAAGAGCTGGAAAAGCGTGTACATGGCCCATAACTGAAGAAACACCTATTGCTACGATAAGTTAAAAGCTACAAAGCTCACTTAGTTTTCATATGTTCTTTAACCTTGCCTCTGCTCTCTTTCTTCTTATCTCTCATAACATTAAGGTGATGAACGTGAGCCTGGCCGAGGGCGACATGGTCAAATTTGAAGACCTGGGCGGCCGGGAACCTTCTGTCCTGGCCAACGAGTCCATCTTAATGAAAGGTCTGGTGGTACGCAGCTGGAGCAACCAAATCTCCATCCACTTCCGCAGCCGGCAGCCGCAGTCCAGCTCCTTGCTGCTGCGTTACCAAGGTGAGCCGTCCTACGTGTCAACCTCTAAACATCTGCTTCATCTACTTCCCTGCTAATTGCACTTGTGCCAGTGTCTCCGGCTGGCATGGATCCAGCGCTCTAGACAAACCTGTTTATGAGTGTACACTTACTGATTAGATTGGCACGAACGATTAGGACTCTGGGAGTAGGGAGCTCTCAATCATTGCTTTCTATTAGGAGAGACTCTCTGTGCACTGAAGGGGAAACACTCCTTGTTATCTCATGTCAACATAATATGCTCATGTTAGCCTGAAAATGACAGCTGCTGTCAATAGGCCGCATAATTACATCAGAGAATGACTTGGATAATTCTCTGCTAATAGTCTTATAACAGAGTCATCAAGGGGAGATCGGCACAACAGAAAAGGTTACGGAGCGCTGATGTGCCCTGCCCCGCACAGCACCGTTTTCTCGTTTGTTACGCAGGGCGATAAAATGACAAATGACTGTATACAGGCAAATTCTTTTGTTTCTGTGAGCTAATGAACTGTGGCGGGTTTGCAGTGGAGTAATATCATTTTTTGCACATCCTTAATATGTCTTTTGAATAAGAAAGTCGTTTACACTCCACCCCCTCTTTCTGTCTCTCTCTCTCTGTCTTTATGAGTGTGAGGGGGGTAATCAGTGGTGTTCAGCTTTCTTAGAAAAGAAGCCGTACATTCCCTCTATTTGACTTAGCAATCATCCACAGGAGCCAGACAGCACATATTTCATAAAGGCTCTCTGTTTCTTTACAAAACTTCCAATTACTTTGCTCCGAAGGCCCTGCTCCCCCTGTTTCCGGTTCAATTTAATGTTCTCCAGCTGTTATGTTGGGTGGATGTGCACACGCAAGAGCAGCTAATTTTGCCACTGGGTTTACACTCGCCTTGACATTGATATAATGGCTAACAAGGAAGGAAAGGAATCAAGCAGGGATTGAGATCTAGTGTAAATATATGGTGCAGAATGGCTGTAGATGACAAAAGAAGTAGTTTAACAGAATGTTCATGCTGCTCTTTTTCGGATAATGATCAGAACCTGACCATAATTATTTTACCTTTTGGCAAAACTCCCAAATCTTATGTATATTTATATAGCATGTTAAGATATTACATGCCAAATATCAATGAAGTAATGTTATTTTAGTATTATTTTTATATTATTTTAGTATTTATTAATATTTTTAATTAGATTTTATTTTATTTTTGTATTTTCAGTTTCAGTCATTTTGCTTTGTGTCATTTTTATAATTTTTTATTTAGTTTTAATTTATTCATTTATTAGCTTTATGTATATTTCAGCTTTAGTTTTAGTAATTTTAGTACTTTAACTTTTCATTAGTCTTTTAAGGTTTATTTTTTCATCTAATTTATTTACATTTTATTTTAGCTACATATTTCAGTTACCAAAAATATTTTAATAGTTTTAGTTAATGATAACAACTCTGCAATGAAGCCAAATATTAATACCAAACATGTGTATATTCAAATAGCATGAATATACAGCAGATTTTAAGGTTTTTAGATTTAAGGTGTATAACTTTTAATAATATTTATAATAAATCAAATATTAATTTATAGAATAATAAATAAAGCATTTAAACAATTCACAATAATTATAATATTGAATGAAATTTTGGCCTCTTCACTCAAATCTGCAGTATGACTTTGGAGGATGTCTGTCATCTCACTTTGTTTCCAAAAACATGTTGCATCTCAATAATTTGAGGTTAGAATCTCCCTACTGATGTTAAAACCAAACCTACGGCCTTGTACTTCAACATATTGAGGTTATAGAGAGAATGATCCTCATTGAGCTACCAAATAAAATGATAGTCCACTTGATTTTCTGCAATCATTGAGGTTAGATGCAGGTTCTGTTTGCATTTTTGCACTTTATTTAAGTTTTCCTTGCTTCCTTTCACCTCACTTTCAGAAAACTACTCGTAATGGAATAACACTTCTGGATGTTTTTGTTCGAATATCAGTTTTTTTTGACAAGGTCATGTCAGACATGTTTAGAAAAAAAAAATTTGGCTGTTTCGACATGGATGAGCCTGTATCTCCATTTGATTGCCTCAGCTTTTTCCAAGGCTTTGTGTTGTGAGCATTAGAGTATAAACACATCAAACTCTTTTATAGTGCATTTAACTTTGATCTCTTGTCATGTGTCTGTAGCAACGTTATTTTCTACTATACCTCTAACACACCGGTCCTGTCTCAATGTTCAGCAGGCCGTACAGTTTGATGGATGACAGATTCTCTAAATGGGAACCTCCATCAGAGACACTCACATTAAAGATTTAGACCTCTCAATAATTCAGATCACAATGAAAGGACCCTTGCCGCCCCCCTTTGCGTCTGGATAAAGGTTAAACACAAACAAGGCAGGACTGATGGAGTGGAGTTAGAAATGGAGGCTGTTGGGGTCTGAATGGCCTTTCAAAAGGTAATCGCCCCCTTTGCCGCACCACCAAATGCCACAAGCTTCAGATAATGTCACTCTCATACGACACTGCAGAGGAAGCACATCTGTATGCATATGCATGTGTTGCAGGTAAACTGATTTGGCGAATGCTTTAGCAGGGTATTATGAGCTGAGGATCTCAGTCCTGTCCTCCCCGGTAAGAGATCAGTTGTGTAGTTGAGCCGTGATCAAGTCGGCTGATCTGGGCTGAGCCTAGCCGTGCATGGCAAGCTCCTGTGTGAGGGGATGGCTGAGGAAGCTGCTGTAATATCCTCCACCCTGCCGCTCGCCCCTCCCAGAGGAGATTAACCCTGCAGGGCGAGGGATCACCTGCTGAGATACACACTCTCACCCACTGACACACATCCTCAGCCGAAGCAGGGCTCCACTTCTTGCTTTTTTTTGTCTGTTACTTTCTTTGCACTCTTGTTTGGCCAAAATTCACACTCACCAAGCACCACATGCAAGTAAAAAAGACTTTTGCGAGTAAATGAAAGCGTTGCTGGCCAGTTGGCATGTAACTTTTTGAAGAAAATCCTATTTTTTTTATTTATTGAGTTTTTTTTTTCCTTTTTATGAACAAAATAGTAGAAACAAAATTGTTTTTTAGACATGTTTTTACTGAGTTTTTTCACTATCACTCACAGCACAGCATGGTCTTTTAGTTTTAATCTTTCTGAAAATCCTGCATCGAATTGTGCCTTGTTTGTAAACGAACCTGTGGTAAAATGAAGTGAACAAAAGACCAAGTTCTTACTGACGCGGTCTGGAACTTCATTAAAAATAAACTTCTTCCTTTTGTTTTTTTGCATAGACCTGTGTTTGCCTCTCTCGTTTTTTACCTACTACATTCACGAATTGGTGGGCGGGGCTAAACAGGCAGTGATATAGAAGCAAGCGTTATTCTTCTGCTGAGGAGGTGGAGTTTAGCCACACTATTACATCATAAAGTGCCAAATTCCACAACCTGTCATTTTGGCAGATTGGCTTCAATATAACCTCTTTTGGATTAATGAGAAAGTTTTGAGTTTGTAATGTGGTGTTTTGGGTTGTTTCTTGTTCATGTTTTCATGTCTTTTATTTTGGAGTTTAGTCATGGTCCCTGTTTGTGTCATGCTTCCCTTTCCCTCATGTATTCATGCCATTGGTTCTCTTGTTCTTTGTGTCATGTTCTGATTGGTTGTCTAGGTCATGTGTCTTGTTTCCCATTTGTTTGTTCGTGTCATGTGACCCTCTTTGTTTGATACAAATAGCCCTCATGTTCCCATTGTGCCTGGTCGTGTATTTGATGTTGTAACCCGCTGTCGGTGAGTCTAGTCTGTTCATGCCAAGTCAAGTCTGTTCCTGTCAAGTCAAGTCTCGGATTGTTGTTTGGATGTTTGAATCACTTGTAAATAAACTGCACTTGGGTTCTTCACTACGCTCGCCTTCAGTGGACTAATTCATTACAGAATACACGACCTACAGCAAAATGAACCCAGCAGATTGCCTAGTTCGTCTCCGACAGGGAGACCTAGCCATAGAGGATTACGTGGGGCTCAAGAAACATGTCTTCTTATTATCAATGTTGAAAACAGTACTGCTTAATGTTTTTGTGAAAACAGTGCTAGATTTCCCCCCCAATTCTTCAGTGAATAGAAAGTTCAAAAGAACAGCATTTGAATTACAAATTATAACTTACTGTCTTACTGACAAAGAGGTTTTCCATTAAAATATAATTATAATAACAATTTTGAGGTTATCTGTGTCTGACTTTAAAGACAAACTGCCAGAAAATACATTTAGGTCTGATTAGGTCACACCTAGTTAAAGTTAAAGAGCTATTCTTGAAGCAGTCGGTTGTAACTGGCAATGTCACACTAGCATTGGGTCAATATCTCTCAAACCCCTCGAGAGATCTGTACTCTCAAAATGGTCAAAGTTTTATTATTTGCTGCTTGACCATAAAGTCTAAATCAAGGCATTTTATGATACAATCTTATACGCTGTGTAAGTCGTCCTTTGACCTTATTTGTCAGCAAGGTCTTCATGGAGGCACTGTAAATGCTGTCGCTCGCTGACAGACTGGATTTCTGTGATAGATGGGAATGTGGTAGTTTTATGTGTCTAGACATGCCCTGCCTTGACTCATTCACACACCTCTCTTTCCTTCTGACCCTGCCCGCCTGTGCGGCATTGGGCTGAGGCCCTGAATCCCAAATGATCTGGAGCTCGCCGCATCCGGATTTTATTTCAGTTCCGCCCTTGTGGTTTTATAGAGCGCTAGATGAAAGTAAAACCAGTTCTAATGGATCTCTGGGTGAGCTTGACCGTGTTACAGGTGAGTCGGAATAGCTGTAAAACAAAATTACAATTCAAACTCTTCTGTGTCTATACGGTGTCATAGGATCATTCAATTCCCAGAATTTTTCTGTTCTGGAAGACAATGGCGCTTTGATATTGCATTCTGTTTGATCACTAGGTTCACCTTGTCTGGTGCGAAAAAAGTGAAAACATTTTCATTAGACAGGCATGCAAGACGAGACAGATCT